TCCTGTTTCTGTTCTTAGGAAAAAGCTATTTGTCTCACCATGTCCTTTCCAGACTGATTCCTGAAAGGGAAGTTCGGGTTTATTTCAACCACCGAGTGCACATTCATTGTTCTAATGAGGAAAGTATCTTATTGCAGACTTCTTGGAAAATCTGTCAGCCAATCACACAAGCAGGGAATTACATTTCAGGGGAGACCTCGGACACCAACAGTGTACAGAACGCCTCCAGTTTTCCACACTATATTACATTTTTCCTTTACGTTTGAACACTAAAGAAGAAATGTTTCACACCATACTGCCACATGAACCAGGATCTACTTGTACACCAAACACAATCCAGGAATAATCTGCCCACATCAAACACATTTGTTAAAAGGGAACTAAAGCCAAACTTTTTTTTTTGCTTTAGTCCTTTTTTGGGTCAAAGGAGTTAATTTACTAATGAACTTATGTGCCCCCATCTAGTGGGCTGCTGCCCATTATTTGCTGACAGCGCAAAGCTGCGCTGCACCTGGAAAAGATCCCTATGATATTGTCGGATCCACCCCACTGCCTGATTGACAGCTGGCTCTGCCTCTCTGGAGCTAGAGCCAGCTGTGCCTGCCCCCTTTAACCTGTCCGTCCAATGAGTGCTGGAGGATCAGAGGGGGGGAATCCCTGCAGGAAGCGGTGACTGAAAGTAAATGCTCTCTGCAAGGAGAAGCCATGAGCTGAGTGATCAGTGGTTTGTGATCACTCAGCTCTCAATTTATAGAGCCAGCATGTGACCCCAGCAGTGTCCCACACCAGCTTTAAGTATTGGGAAGAGTACATTTTACTCTCCCAATACTTTTCCTTTGATATAAACAGTTTATATAATCTATTATTTCTTGTCTACAAAAGCACAGTTTGTATTACTTAATTTACTAGGGAAAAAGCAATGAATTGTCCTCATTCTATACCAGCCCTTGATGCAATCAATTCCTCTGATGGACCTGTGTAGATTTGTGAATTGTGCACCTGTATGAGCACACCTTCTACTTGCAGAACATTCTGCAGGAATAGATACTCGTCTAGTACAACAGCTTAAAGGTGCCCATACACCTTACGACCATCGCAAGACTTTTGTCTTGCGATGGTCGTATGCTCATTAAAAGCTCGTACGATCTGCCCACCTTGGACGGGCAGATCGTACTTGCGATCATCGGAAGACTGCCCCGCTGAGAGGCGGGCTTCCGATGACGGCAATGCAGAACGGGCAGTGTGCGCGTGCGCACACTGGCCCGTTCCGCAGCTATCGGGCTAGCAGGCTAGAAACCTGCCGAGAATCGTACGATTCTTGGCTGGTTTTTAAGCATGTTGGCTCGACAAAAGACGTGCGACCGTACAGTAGAAACGGTTGCACGTCTTAGTTCACACTGCTCGATTCTCGTACGATCGCGGGATTTCGCCCGATTCTCGTACGAGAATCGAGCAGTGTATGGGCACCTTAATGCAGCGCCACCACAATCAGCCTGAGCTGCTACATTCCAGATGTATAAACCTTCATATACAATGACGTGTACTACAAAGCATGACACGGTTCCATTCACAACAAAACAAATGACAATGATTCAACTATCATGATATCCTTTACACAAAGTCTCAGAACCAATAAAATTCATTGGAACCACCACTGTCAAATGATAATTTGTCTCAAGGCATGGGTAAAAGCATCGAAAGCCATTACATATTTGATGGTGTAGGGAAGGGTTAGAACTCCTGTCCCTGTTTAGTTTTTTGCCATCTGTCATGTGATATTTTCCTTCACTTCCTGTTCTATAGACAGCAGGAAGTTAGAGGAATCCCTGCAAAGTCAGGGAAATACTTTAAGACGGTTGCCACTGCAACAAGTGTGCCTGTGGAAAGATGTCCCCTCTATTCCTGTTGGTGACAATGGAATATTTCAAGTTGTCCCAGTGACAGAGGCAACTGGACAAATAGGGTGAATTTCCCCACTGATGGCACTAAACATCACTGAACTGGCAGGCAGTGGCCTGATTATCCAATTGTCCTGACTACAGAATAGCTGCTGTATGTAACATCGGCACACCATGGCTTCTGCCACATACTTTGGGTTTAATAAATGTCTGGTTTCATTACACGTTTTGCTGCCAAGCACTTTGGACTGGATTCTTTATAAACATCAATCAGCTTTTATTAGGATTGCTCTCCTCTCCATGCTGTTAATTCCCATGAACTTTTTGAAAGGATTTAGTCTTATCCCATACTCGAAAGGTGCCCATACACTGCACGATTATCGTACGATAATCGTGCAGTGTATGGGCACCTTAAGACATATGTGGATTTCCAATTATCCATACAAATGACATCCTGCAGACAGCCACATTCATAACAAGACTCGGACATAGTTCCTTATTGTGAGCTCAGCCTGTGTTCTTGGACAGGATGGGATCTATTAAAGGGAAACTGGTTCTTAAGTTAAAGTGGGTATCATTAGGCAAAATCAAACTGATAACACAAATAGAACCCCAGGGACAGAAACGGAACCCTCAAGGACAGCAGAGAGAAAAAGACATGGGAGGGGGATCAAAGGGGACACACTGAGTCTGATCTATGAAGGAGGGAATGTAAAGTAGAGGTCATGTAGAGCCAATGAAAGCCATGACAGTTTGCCTATTGAAGATGGGGGTCTTAGGGCCCATTCACACCTATTAGGCCTTGTTCACACCAAATGCAGAGCAGATCTGCATGCGTTTCTGCACACGCAGTGCAGTGGGGTGTGCCGCGTTTTTGATGCGTTCCGGGCCGTTTTTGGTACAAAAATTGTATTTGTTTTTAAAGTTTAAAATGGGCTTTCAGTGCGTTCCAGGCATTTGAATGCGTTTGCATGCATTCCAGAGCAGGTAAAATAGGGCCTGCTGCAGTTTTTTTTTACCTGCTCTGGAACTGAACGCTGCGATGTGAACTGGAGCTAAAAATACAATTGGAATACATTGGACGCAGTTTTGCTCCGGTCTGTAACTGCTCTGCTCTGCACCTGCTCCGCGCTTGGTGTGAACAAGGCCTGAATATTACCATACATTAACACATGTACACAGGTTAGCAATTTCTTTAAATTATGCTAGTTCAAATCTGTGCGACATGCATTGGATTGAAAAAGTTATGCCCGTTTTTGATGTGTGATTAAAGAGCCAACCATTGACAATGGTAATGAAGGAAAACATTGACAACGCATGTAAATGTACACGAAAAGGCATGAACCCATCTTTAAGCGTATCTTTACATCAAAGTGTTGTGCTAAGTGTGTGGGATTGCTAGATGCTCCCAGTGGGCACCTCATAACGCATGATAGCGCATTAATGCATGCATTGCCTTTTATCATCTTACAGCAACATGTTATTGTGCTACCGTGCGACATGGAATACTACAATGCACTACCACCAGGGAGTGTGTTGAGGTGCCATTGAGAAGGAATGGCAATGCAACACACCACAGCACCTAGTGTGTTATACCATGGTGTCTGTGACAGCATATGCACACAAACTCGCAATAAACACACAAATCCCGCAACGTGTTTGTCACAAAGATATATGCTGTGAACAAGCTGAAATGAGAGAGGTGTGGAGGCTGCCATTGCAGAGTTCCTTCTGAAAATGAAGCTTCCTGGCTGTGTACAAACTCAGAACAAGAACACAAGTAACATCAGAACTCCTGATCTCTGTACCATTTCAAGTATTGGACATGACAGCCAAGCACTCTGCATTTTTCATTAAGATGTGGCAGTCTCCACATTTGAAATGAACAAGTTTTGCTTTTTATGTCAAAGTCAACCACAGGATGAAAAATACAACTTAACTGGTTTCAAGATTTTATCCTCGGCGCAGTTGGGAAAACATACAAGTTGGAGGGTGCAAATGCCATAAAGTGGGCCGGGAGATGGGCAAAGGAAAGCTTAAAAAGTTCAAAGAGCAGATGAATGATAAAGATCAATCTTATGAACAATACCCGTCCAGGAAACATAAGAATGCTTTTCATTCAGAATAAATTGTTTTTTTAAGACTTTTCAAGACGATAATCGCAAGGTGTGTGGGCAGTGTGCAACCGCAAATACTGTACAATCACACGACTTAAACTTTTAAGTATGTTCGAAAACTTTGGCCAGTCGTACGATTATTGCAAGGTTAGTGGTGTTTCCGTACGTCACAAATCGTACGATCTACACTGCTAATGCGCAAACGAAAATACGTGGTGTTGATTACCGCAATTTGTCCAGGTGCTTTTCTTTAATTACAGCTAATTGAACCTTGCGATGATCGGGGCATAATGGGGACGCCGTACGACAATCGATGTTCGATCATCAGACGAAAAGTGTTGTCCGATAATCGTAAGGTGTGTGGCCACCTTAACAAACTTCTGCTGGTGTATGGCCAGCTTAGAAGGAATTCCCCTCACTTTGTGGGGCTCTCTCTAATTTTCTTTTGCGTCTCCGAGACAGGACGTGGGGGGAAATCACCCTAAGAAGACACAGACAGAAAACAATCAACTGAAAGGGGCTTCTACACTTCTCTTCTCTGTCCAAACCTAAATAGAAAGTTAGGCTCTACATATACTACTTTTTTTTTTGTATCAAGCATTTTAAACTATGAAATATTTCAAGAAACCTGCAATATATGCGATTCAAAGTTCCTCTCCTGCATTAAAGATCATCAGCAAAAGTGACTAGGTTGGATTGGTGCCCTACAGCAGCCTGTAGTTCCATGCATCCATCTCCAGAATTGAATCTTACTTTAAAATAAGATCAAAGGGCTCTGAGAACAAAATGTAACAGAGAGCAAAACCGGTGGAAAGAGTGGAGGACAAAATATGTATAGTTTGCTAAGGTCTACAGATAATAGAAAATATCACAAAAAACAAACGAGGGTAGGAGCATTAGGATGTAAAGACACAGACATTGATCACACATGAATAGTGCAAAGAGGATGAAACACAGTGGACAGCAAGTCAGGATTACACCATACCGTGTAGAAAGTCGGCGCAGAAGAAGCCACAAGTAGTAACAGCTGCACTGACAGCTATTGAGCAAAGCAAGTATCCCCACCATAGTGCCTCCATGTGAGCGTGTGACTTCTGCCTTGTGTTCTGCCGGCTCTTCCTGTTCTTCAGCCCTGCCTTGCTTTGCTTTCTCTTCCTGCTGCCTGTCACACTGCCACCAGCTGGGACCTGCATCTCCTAGTAAAAGCTGCACCAGCAGACAGTCTGGGAGGGGGGGAGTGCACCTGCTGAAAATACTCTGTGCAAACATGCAGAGTCCTGAAGCTCCAGGCCCGAGTGGAGGAGCCTAGACGCTGAAAGAGACAGGTCCACAAGACACTTTGCATTCTACACCGTTGCAAACATTTTAAAAGAAACTTCAGACGCTTTGACGAGTCAATATATTTAAAGAGGAACTACACCCAACAATGTAATGTCTCCTGATGAAAGTTACTTTCAAGGCATGACAACCATCAAGGTTGCCAGTCTGCTCATTTCATTTCTCAACTGAAACGAACAGTGATCTCTGCTAATCGGAAAAGAGAGCTACCGCCTAGGGCCCCTTTGACATGGGTGGTCCGATCTGGTCCACCTAATTTTTCTTTAGGCAAACCCGATCGGATGCCCAATGCTAGTCTATATGCAGCCGGGTCTAAACGGACAGGCATCCGTTTACACACTTCGGCCTAGTCCGGAAACAAAAAAGGATCTGCATTGATCATATCGGATTGGGGGTAATCTGTTGTACAATGACACATGTCCGTTTAAATCCCACTCACCATAGACCGTCATGGGGTCTGGCAATTTTAGTTCTTTCCTCTATCGCAAGATGAAGGAAAAAACTGGATGGGCAAGGATGTCACAGTGGTACTTGTGTGAAAGGGGCCTTAGGACAAGCAGACATTGCACATTCATGGAAAAATATTAATTATGTTTGTAAATTGAAGCATTGTAGGAAAAATGATCTACGACTAGGGAGTTAAAACAAACCCCCAGAACTGAGCCTAACATATATGTTAATGAACTGTAGGAAGAGCAAGATCTGTACAATCTTCAGCACAGGTCTGAAATCCTGCTCACAGATACAGTGCTGCAGTGTGATGACACAGGATGTCACAGCAGCTCAAGGACTTGACAGCTCACTGAGTCCAAGAGAAGTACAACGTGACATTCAGCTGTCTGCACGTGGACACAGCTTGCAGCCGTCACAATGATACAACCATTCAAAGTTTCTGCTGGAACAAAGTGGCATTGTGCTAGATCACTTCCCTGTGTCACAGTTCAGAATAACCACTGACACTGAGTCATCTACTTCTATCAGGGGGATCTATGCCATGTTCTTACTGCAACTATCTCACTTGGAGGGACTGTCCTAAAAACAAATCCCTCTGTCTCCCTTTTCTCTCAGTTGTTCACTGATCGTCCAGTGCAAGAGACAGAGGAAGAGGACCCATACATCACATGACCAGGCTAAATATATTTCAAAAATGTATATTTAAAAAAAATAGATATGGTCCTCAGTAGGTAAAAGGGGGGGGGGGGGGCTTGGGGGGGGTTTAAGATGAGCTTGGTGGTGACTTAAGATGGAAAAACTGAGGTATATGATATTCATAGCCCTTTACATGGTACCTTTTACATAAGGTATTTACATGCAAAAGTTATCTTATGTAGCAGAACCCATCCTCCAAAAAGTAAAGAAAAAAAGGGCACTGGGTGTCATTTAAACCCAAGACTGAGGACAAAGAGAAGGTAATGAGAAGGTATTGGGAAGATAGCTTTGGATTGAAGGTGAGCACTTTACCTTTTTTAGGGGGTCCAGGGGACATATAAACAAATTAAGCTCAGAGTCGGCCATTGATACACTGGTGATCTAAACTGATCTATAATATAATAATAAAAATAATACAGTGCTCATAGATCGATGTATATATATGTATTCATATATACACGTGGCCTACCACTTCATGGCTGAGTTCCTGTTGTTCCCAGTTGCTTCCACTTTGTTATAATACCACTAACAGTTGACCGTGGAACATTCAGTAGCAAGGAAATTTCATGGATGGACTTATTGCACACCTATGCGAGGCAGCCGGAGCTAGACCTATGCGAGGCAGCCGGAGCTAGATCTACGCGAGACACCCGAAGCGAGATCTATGCGAGACACCCGGAGCTAGATCTATGCGAGACACCCGAAGCTAGACCTATGCGAGACACCCGGAGCTAGATCTATGCGAGACACCCGGTGATAGATCCACGCGAGATACCTGGGACTAGATCCCCGCGAGATACCCGGGACTAGATCCCCGCAAGATACCCGGGACTAGATCCAAGCAAGATAGCTGGGACTAGATCCAAGCAAGATAGCTGGGACTAGATCCAAGCAAGATAGCCGGGACTAGATCCAAGCAAGATAGCTGGGACTAGATCCAAGCAAGATAGCCGGGACTAGATCCACGCAAGATACCTGGGACTAGATGCACGCAAGATACCTGGGACTAGATCTACGCAAGATACCTGGGACTAGATCTACGCAAGATACCTGGGACTAGATCTACGCAAGATACCTGGGACTAGATCTACGCAAGATACCTGGGACTAGATCTAGGCAAGATACTAGGGATGCAATCTCTCTCTTTACCTCTCTTATCTAACTGGAGCCTAGGGATGAGCACAAGTGAGGAAATAAGCTGTGATTTTTAACGTCTGCAGTGAAGCTTATACAGGCTAACCACCTTTAAAAAAAAGTATTATTATTTCGTGTCCAGTTTTCCCCTCGACAGAGAGATCACATTATTCACTTTTCACATTGTGCTTCCATTGCTAACAATTATCAGGAAGCTAATTATAAATTCATGACAAGATGGTATAGGACACCCTCTGTCTTGGCAAAATGATATCCGGGAACAGATGATAAGTGCTGGAGATGTGCCACATCGAGGGGCACTCTGCTCCACATTTTTTGGGAGTGCCCCAAGATAACACTTTTGGAGTGAGGTTACTCGCATAATTTTCGAGCTAACTGGTCTGGAACTTGACAGTGACCCAGCAGCATGTCTACTACACCTTACCCCCCTGTCCAAAGCCCATTACAGGAAATCGTTGATGGTACACTTACTAAATGCAGCCAAGGCCTGTATTACTGCGCTCTGGAGGCACACCTCACCCCCCACTCTATCGCAGTGGCTTGTTTGTGTGAACGATATGTGCATGGAAGAGTTGACTGCTGCAATTAAACACAGGTCCACAGTCTTTAATAAGACATGTCTTTACTGGATTCAATGTAGACACTCCTCAAGTTATCCAGACTCTTGCGGGCCTGCTTGGACCTCTTGGTCTGGCCTTGCCCTCTGGGGCAGGTTTTGCATACACTTGATTCCTTAATATTATCGCATTTCTCTGACCCTTGCCCCCTTTGGGGGCTGGCCATTCCGACATTTCCCTACCCCCCTTTCTCTCTCGCTCTCTCTCTCTATTCTTTTAACTGACATTATAATACAAAAATCCTTGCATGGTTCAAGACCAATCCCACTGTTTTCCCGGATTATATACGTGTTTCATCACCGACATGGTTGTTTTTCCACCTACATTTTTATATGCTGTGCTGTTATTAGTTTGTTGTATTAAAAAAAAAATTCTGATTGCTTGTAAAGTTGTCACAACAATTTTGTCTGTTCCATGTGGTTATAAATAAAGAATAAAAAAAAAATATAAATGTATATTATTTCCATATAGTTACATAGTATTTGAGGTTGAAGACACAGGTCCATCAAGTTCAACCTTTCCATAAAACGATTGTTACTAGCACAGCTATTTTATAACCACTAACTCCTCATCCTTTAACATGACTCAATGGGAGCTGCCATTGCTGGCCCTTTTGTGAAAGTTTTCGTGTCTGGCTTCCATACTTTAGACCCAGAACAAGCATGTTGTAAGTGTCAGAAAAGTCCCAGCATTCCTTATGTGTACAGTTGTTTAGGGTCAGAGACTCAAAGGAGAGGTCAGCAATGGCAACCCCCATACTTTTCTCATTGACAGAGTCACTTTAATGCTGAAGTTCTTGATGGATTCAAGAGAACATCTATGCTACACTGAGGTCCACAACGGCTCTAGGTAAGCCATCAAACAGTGAAAGCACCTATTTACAAATGTAGCATAACCTTTCAGCATATGCACTAACCAGTTTCAGTAGCTCAACATCATAGCGGTACCCTCGTCCCTGGACATCAAGAAATAAGGGCTGTTTTTCATGCAGGATGATGTTTTCCAATATCCATAACACAAAGTACTAGTTTGGACTGTGCACACAGGGGTTGTTATATGTAAATATGACCATAGCAAGAATCAGTGGAGAGGAATGAGCTGATACAGAGTGTCATATCCTGCACAGGAAGAATGTGGTTCTGCCTGAATCCCTTTGGGTGATTGGCGCAATAACTCATGCAATCAGCTATAAATAGGACAAAGCACAAGGGTTAAAAAATGCCAGAAATACACAAGTGAAGGCAACGCATCGCATCGGAATGTAAACATTATCAGCAGCGATGTAAGAAACAGGGAGGATATTCTGGGCTAACATGACAAGCTGAGGCTGCAAAGCATGTCAGATCAAACATGACATCAGTTCCTAGTTCTGAATGCTGGATAAAAGTGCAATGAGCCGACAATAAAATCTGCACTCGGGCTTCTAAAACAATCTTAAAAGGGAATAAACAGTATTAAGAGAAGAAATGTGCTAAGAACTATTTGCACCTAACTGGCTGCATTACATAACCACCATGCAAGGCCACAATAACAGCTCAGTCTATATATATAAAAAAAAAAGATCCTAAGTACACATGGGTAATTTGTAATCTTCGCTCACATTCATCTAATATCACCTAAGTGTACGCAGACTCAAGTCTGACAGTATGAATCAGCTTGCTAAAAGCTTTATTTGGGCAACAGCTTGTTAAAAGCTTTATAAAGCTATACTAAGTGCTTACATGCAAAGTTATCTTCTATTTTGGCCATACTAGGCAAAGTATTGGGTTAACGACACAGAAGGCCCCATAAGTAGCCTGAACTTACCCACAGTTGTTTTAAATGGGCTGTCAAAGCATTATGCTTGAAAAATTGGACAGGA